ATGATGCCAGGACAGTTTGGACCAATCAGCCTGGTTTTTGATTGCTGATTAAGAGCAGCCTTCACACGAACCTGCCGTACAAAGATATAAGCTTTGATCTCAAAAAGAAATAAAATTGATTGCCAATCACAACTCGGAAGGAAGATATAAACTGTAATTTGGATCACTATCTACATGTGCATATGGCAGTCAATACTCCTTAAAGTGCATATAATGCAAATAAGCACTTCTAAAATGAAAACCATAACATATATCCATTTCCAGAGATAAGAAAGCATAATTGCAAATTTAAACACACAATTAATCAAGCAAAAATGTTATTAAGGAGCCTTTGTATCATTTACCATGTCATGCTGAGGAATTCCCTCCGTGATACAAACAACAAGATCCAATTCAGCTTCCATAGCCTCCATGATAGCAGCTGCAGCAAAAGGCGGAGGAACATAAATGACAGAAGCATTAGCCTTGGTTTCGGCCTTGGCTTCGGCAACCGAGTTGAAAACAGGAAGCCCTAAGTGCTCTGTTCCTCCCTTCTTGGGGGTTACTCCACCAACCTATCGAAAGAAAATTGAAACAAAACTAATAACTATAAAATATATATGACTAACCAGCAACCTTAAATCATTCCCATAACTCATAAAGACATACAGAAATCCACTTAATATATAACAAAACTAAAAGAAACCCTATTCTCTGACATATATATATATATATATATATATAAACAAATCTTATGAATGTCTTTCCAGGATTTTCTCAATACCCCATCAACTTTTGCAGTGAATAAATCAATGGAAAACAGAAAAGGTGAAATTTTGCTGGGAATTCAATGTACCATCTTAGTGCCATATTCGATAGCTTGCTCGGTGTGGAAAGTGCCATTCTTTCCGGTGATCCCTTGGCAAATGACGCGAGTGTTCTTGTCTACGAACACCGCCGGTTGGGGCGCCGGAGCCGCCGAGAAAGAACGTGACTGAATCAAAAAATGAGAGGAAGAGGAAGAGGGGCTGAGTGGGGATATTTGGGGTTTGTGATGAGAAATCCTGGAATACAAAGATTGGATGAGTCGTGAAGCTTGTCTGGCCATTGCTATTGCTGCCGATTCAGTATCAGATCTCCTTTGATTTCCTTCGCTGCAGAAACCAAAACCGCTGTCTCAAACCAAAATATTGCGTATAAAAACCCAATGCCCCCCCCCACCCCAAATATTGGTCAGCTTCCCTACTTTTCGTTTTTCTTACAAATTATAAATCGAGCCCCTATATTTTTATCTTCATCAATTTTAATCCAGCTCTCTATTTTGAACATAAAATTGCTTTTTTAAATTAACTACTACCATCGAATTTATTAATTGAATAATACATATCAAATTTTACAAAAATGTATTATGAGGAAGATCCTCCAAACCCATATAAATACTAAACATATTTTTTCTAATAGTTCGGAGTAATTACAATATAGTATTTATTCAAAATTTTCTTAATCAATTGATAACACACACCTTATAGACGTAGTTTCTTGAACCCATTGATAGATCGATGGGATGTTGGGAGTGCGGTCACTCCCCTTATAAATTTTAAACTCTCTTATATTTTATGTATTTTCTATTGATTATATAATTTTGCACCTCCTGATATTTTATAATTTCTCACCCTCTAAATTTCTAATATAATTTCTTAAATCCGCACTCTCTAACACAATTTCATGCGTTCATCAAGGCCTCTAGAAATAACAATATTTTATTTTACCATTAAAATCACTTAACGTGCTCCAGTAAATATAATTAAAATTAAACAATCATAAGAAAAATTCACTTACCTTAGCTAACTTCAAAAATATTATTTCCAAACTCTTATACTAATTTTTCCTCATCAAATATTCAATTTACTTCAGTTCTAAATTTATCAAATGAAAGAGTTATAGTCATAATTTTTTAGATTAATTTTCTCTCTAATAATATCATTAGTCGTCGGTTACAATTGAATCATACTATGTTTTTTTCATAATTATAACTTTTGAAACTTTATAATCTGGTCTTTAATTTTTTTCTTCTTCCAATTTAATCCCTTTTTATCCACCTCAATCAAAAAACTAGTAATTATCATAAATAATAACTTCATAATGATCATGGTCCTCAATTATTCCATTTTTTTAAAAGTATCATTTTACCCCTCATATTTTGCATTCTTTGTAATTTAATTATTAGCCTTGATTTTAATACTTCTTCACGAAAGTCAAACTCCACATTTCATTTAATTAATTATCATTAACTTAACTAATAATGAACCCGGTATTTGATATGGAACAAATATTTAATATCAAATTAAACTAAGATCCGACGCCGAAAAAAATAATTTTTATTAATATGCTCGAATAAAAATTATTTTATTTTTTCTCTCTATCATTTTTTTTTTCATTTCCTTCTTTCCCGAAATTGGTGATGATCTCATCCTCTCATTTCTCTCCTTTCGACTTGTCTCATCCTTTATTTCTTCGACCTGATTTCGTTTTTTCACTCTCTTCGCCACCTTTTAGTTTCTCATTTTTCTCGTGAATATCTTCTTCTTAAAACTCTGAAACTCATAATCAACATATACAATAAAAGAATAGCAACTATTTTGATCATTAGTAGATTAAAGCTAGGCCTGTTACTGCAATCGATCTATCACAGTATCAAGATTTAAGTTTTGATTTCGAGATTTTTTACTAGAGAATTAGGATGGAGATTGTTGAGTAAATTAGATAATTTACAAATGTTGAATGATTGTTGTATAGGATGAATAATTGTAGAGATGAAAAAGAAAAAAAGAAACAAAAATTGGATTTGTTTTTCATCACCAAACCATAGTTAGCATAGTTAGTCTCGACATATCCTTGTACAATGAAAAGGGAAAGGCTTGAATGTGGGAAGTTTACCGTGCGGCAGCGTTAATATATAGCTAAATAAATGTCTTATTGGTTTTGTTATTATTTTTTAATAAAACTGGTAAAAAAAGTACCTAAAACATTATTATTTATACCTAAAACATTAATGTTTTTAATACTTTCGGTAAAGTGTCCAATAATAACAAAATCGGTAGAAAAATAATGTTTTAGGTAGCGCTTTACCAGATATGTTAACAAAACCGGTAAAGCGCCTAATAATAAAAAAATGGTAGAAATAATAATATTTTCGATAATTTTTTACCGGTATTGTTAAAAAAATAATAACAAAATCGATAACACATTTCCTTAACCGTGTATTAAGACTGTCGAACGTGAGATTTTACCGTAACGTAAGGGAAAAGGATGATAGAAGTTAAACAACGTTCGAGAAAAGTCATGAACGAGAAAGAAGAGAGAGAGATGATGAAAAAGAGGATAAAACAAAATGAAATCATATGATTATATTTTGATCATTTAATAATTAATCGTGAAATTATGAAGTTTGTTTTATTTTAATTATTTATCGTTAAAATATAAATTGTATTGTTGATGTAATTTCGTTTCTACTTTTGTATTATTTAATTTAGATTAATAGATCTGATATTTGATTAATTTAAAAAAAATATTATTAATTGTTTAACAATAAATAATTAAAATTTTAATACAAAATAAAAATATAACTTTAAGAATTTATAATTTAAAAAGATAATAATTAAGTGATGAAAGTGGAACTGTGAAAATGATTGGGTAAGTAAATACTGAGGTGGCGTTTGGTTGGATGTAATTCCTTGGAATTGGGGGGAATTATAATCTAATTCTACCACTTTCTCATGTTTGGTTCAAGTTTTTCAAGGAAATGGAATTCCTAATGACTTTAACTTTCTATCAAACGAGGGAAAAGTGAATTTCATCCAAGAATAGATGGAATTCAATTCCCTTGTTAGAGGGAATTGAAATTTGACTATACTACCCTCATCAATCTTTTGGTAACTTATTCATATATTGAATAAAATATTTTTTTATTTCGGGTCGGGTTTCTAATTCATATATTCGGGTCGGGTTGGTTTTTTTAAGTGTGATATTCGGGTTAAGTTTGGGTTTAGGGTGAAAAATACCCGACCCAAAAATGTATATAATTTTACCTTATATATTTAAGAATAATTACAATAATACCCCTCTCTATATATTTTTTCCAATTAAGTCAATGTTTTTATTGAATAAAAACATTTTTTATTATTTCGGGTCGGATTTCTAATTTATATATTCGGGTTGGATTTTTTAAGTGTGATATTCGGGTCGAGTCGGGTCAGGTATTTTTAAGTGTGATATTCGGGTCGGGTCGGGTCGGGTTTTTTAAAGTGTGATATTCAGGTCGGGTCGAGTTCGGGTTTAGGGTGAAAAAAACCGGACCGACCCAAAAATATATATATAATTTTACCTTATATATTTAGGAATAATTACAATAATACCCCTCTATATATAATTTTTTCAATTAAGTCAATGATTTTATTGAATAAAAATAATTTTTTTATTATTTTGTGTCGGGTCGGGTCGGGTTTCTAATTTGTATATTGAATAAAAATAGTTTTTGATATATTTTTTTGTAACTAATTAACATACTTCAATTGGAATGTATCGAAATATTACTCTATCTTTTGGTAACTTATTAACATATTCTGATTGCAATGATTTTAACTTAAGATGTTTATTAACATGATTTTTATAATTTATTGAAATGCATAATAATCAATAAAATAAAAATTTAATATTTTTTTTATTTTTATAATATATTACTATGTAAGTCGTAAAACAAATTAAAATAAAACCAAAATATAAGAAGGACAATTCTGTCATTTTACATTATTGAAATCAAATTCATATGAGATTCTAATTCTATTTCCTGTCAACCAAACAGAATATGAAATTAGATTCTAATTTTTTCACAAATTCTAATTTCTTCATAAACATTCCAACGAACCAAACGACACCTGAGTTTACACGAACAATCGAGAGGCTGCCGTTTTTCTCTTATATATACCCTTTTTATTAACAGGAGCCTTAACATCTACCAAAAATATTTCTCAGGAATCTAAAATCAATGGCGTCGTCCCCATCGAAATGCTCCTCATACAAGAAATATGAAATCAGAAAGCGAGACCCAAACCCTGAAGCCGCCGCTTTATTAGTGATCGACCTGCAAAATTATTTTTACTCCGTGGCAAAACCTATTCTTCCCAACGTCATCACCACCATCAACCTCTGCCGACAAGCTTCGATCCCCGTTTTCTTCACTCGCCACAACCACAAGTCCCCCGCCGACTACGGCATGCTGGGGGAGTGGTGGAACAACGACCTCATACTCGACGGAACCTTGGATGCCGAGCTGATCCCGGAGATCGAACGGCTGTCTAAACCCGACGAGGTGGTCGAGAAACACACGTACAGCGCGTTCGAGGACACGAGATTGCAGGGGTTGTTGTCGGAGAAAGGGGTGGAGGAGGTCATAATCACGGGGGTCATGACGAACATGTGCTGCGAGACGACGGCGCGTGCGGCGTTCGTGAAAGGGTACAGGGTGTTTTTCTCGACGGATGCGACGGCGACGTCGGACCCGGAGCTGCATGATGCTACTTTGAAGAATATGGCCAACGCGATTGCGTACCTCGTCGACTGTGAGAGGCTTCAACAGGGGATTTCTGGGAATGGGATGAAGTAGTTTTCGTTTCCTGTGGCGAAGAAATTACAGATTAATTACTAGTAGCAATTATCGGTTTCATCGCCAGTTTTGTAAATCGTCTACATTCTACTGGGTCTGTCGTATGTGTATGTGATTGTGTGGTCTATAATAAACTGAGTTATAATAATAGTTCAGTAAGTATACAAGTTAATATTATTATTAATTTACTTGTGCTTTGCTGATGACTTGTTACATCTGTTTTGAAAATCGGATCGGTCGATTTAATCGGTTTAATCGGGAATTGTTATTTAGTCTGATTTAATTTAAACTGGTTGAACCGTTATTAGTAAACTGATCAGAATCGTTGAACCGTTCGAACCAGATCGGCTGAAAATAAAAAAAATCGAGAAAATCGGGATTTTTGTTTTTTTTGTTTAAAAAAAATTAAACCAAACAACGTCGTTTGTTAAACGAGTTAAGTCGAACTCAAGTATTGTTGAGCTTGACTCGAATTTGAAAACTTTAAAAGTAAACTCAACTCAACTCAAACTCATGAGTTAAAAATTATCAAGTTCAACTCATACTCGAAATATAATATTGAAACTTGAACTCAAAAAGGCTTGAACTCAAAAAAAATTAGAAGCTCGATTGAAGCCTAAAATTCGAGATTGATTGAAGTGAAAAAATAGTTCACTCAATGCTCACCAAAAGGCTCCATGATTTTGAATGTCAAATTACCTCTATTATTTATAGAAGTTAGTTGTGATGCGCTTCTATGTTTCTTAGTAATGTGAAATTGTTTTGTTCTCATATTTTTACTCTTTAGACTTTTGGGATGCTCTTTTATGTTTCTTAGCCATGTGAGATTGTTTTTTTTAAATTAAACCAAACAATATCATTTTGTTATGATTTTTTTAACCTCAAATTTATTTTTTAATTATAGTTATATAATTATATTTATTATTTAATATGTTTTACCTGAAATATTATGTTGTAGTTAATTTGAATCATTTTGTTTCACTTGATTTTATAGTTTTTAACTTATATATGTTATGACTTGCTTTGAATATGACTTGTAATATAAAAAATTATTTTTTATTAAATATTTTTGATATTTTTATTTAATTTTTTAAATAAGTATGACGTCGTCCGGTTCTTCCGACCGGTCGGATCGGTTCAACCGGTTGAACCAATGAACCAATATCATGACCGGTTCGCTAAGCGGTCTAGTTCTAAAAACCATGCTTGTTACTGTTTTGTCATGGTTCTTTGAATTTAGTGAAGGGTTCTTAACATTATGGATAAGTTTTATGACCTGTCTGGTCTTAAGTTGAATGTTATGAAAATTGAGATTTTTACTTGTGGAGTCTTTGGGGAGAACTGGAGCATATTAGAATAGCAATGAGTTTTAGAGTTGGTCAACTCCCTGTAAGGTATCTAGGGGTACCTTTAGTGACTAGGAAATTATCTAGGACAGACTGTAGAGCTATGTTGGATAAGATAAAAGCCAAGTTGAGACAGGGGTCTAGTAGGAAGTTGAGTTATGGGGGCTGGCTGCAATTAATTAAAGTGGTCTTGTTTAGTATTTTTAGCTATTGGAGTAGGCAGCTTATTTTGCCTAAGGATGTCATCCAGGACATTGAAAGAGTGTGTATGAGATTCTTTTGGAAGGCAACGACTCTCCTGCTAATGGTACTAGAGTTAGTTGGAGTCAGATCTGTTCTCCTAAATCAGAGGGTGACTTGGGGCTTAGAAGTTTGGTTGGTTGGAACCAAGCTTGCTGCTTGATGCTTATTAAAAATCTCTTGGCTGATGAAGGCTCCTTGTGGATCGCCTGGGTCAAGGCTTACTGCTTTAAGCATTAAGACTTTTGGAATGTTGAAAGTAAGCCTCATTTTAGATGGACTCTCAGGAAATTGATTAAGTTGTGTGTGCAGGTTGGAAATATGTTTATTGCTTCTGTTAACTGGTCACAGGCTAGAGGAGGATGGATATGGGATAAAATTAGAGAGAGAAAGGATAAGGTTGAGTGGCATCGACTCATATGGTTCCCTTCCCATATCCCTAAGTTTTCTCTGATTTCTTGGGTGGTCATTCTTGACAGGTTGCCAACAAATGAGAGATTAGCTCGGTTTGTTGTAGTGTCTGATGCTCGTTGTGGTTTATGTGATGATGATTTGGAATCGAGAAGCCATCTCTTCTCGGATTGTCCTTACTCGAGGGAGGTTTGGGCTTCCATCTTGCATTTGTGTGGATTGCAACAGCAGTACATGAGCTGGATCGATTGGCTGTGTTGGTTGAATAGAAACTTGAAAGGCAAGTCCATGCTAGTTCATATTCTGAAACTAGCATGGACAGAGTACGTTTATTACATCTGGGAGGAGCTCAATCGTAGACTCTTTAGAGGATTGTCGCGTCCGGTTGATGTTATTGTAAATACAGTCAAAGAGGCAGTTAGTATCAAATTGTATAGATTCAGTATTAATAGGTCGGATATTGTAAATAGTCAACTTTGTGCTGATTGGGGACTGATTTATGAGGTTACTTGTTATTTGTAGCAGTATTTTGCTGCTTTCTTTAGATGAAATATATTTGATGATTATCCAAAAAAAAATATTATTATTAATTTTTACTAGAGATTTTTTACTAGAGAATTAGGATGGAGATTGTTGCGTAGAGGTGACAAAGAAAAAAGAAACAAAAATTGGATTTGTTTTTCATCACCAAACCATCATTAGCATGGTTGGTCTCGACATATCCGTGTACAACGAAAAGGGAAAGGCTAGCCTGAGGGAAAAGGATGACACGTGTTAGACAACTACGTAGGCAAACGAATGAATACGAAGGGGTATGTTCATGTTCGTTCGCTTAATTTTAAACGAATAAATGAACGAACGCGAATATAAACGAACAAAAAATTTATTGTTCGTGTTCGTTCGTTAAGGAATGTAGTTTGTTTGTGTTCGTTCTTGTTCGTTCATTTAAATGATAAACGAACACAAATGAACGAACATAAACGAACGAATGTAAACAAACATAAACGAACACAAACGAACGAACGTAAACGAACACAATAAATAAACATAATCGAACATAAATGAAAATATTTTTTTTCCTAACAATTTTATTATTATATTTTATTTAATTGTTTTTAGTTTTTTATTTGTAATTAAAATTAATTGAGTTTTAAAATATTTATGGGTATCAGATTAAAATTTAGTGAACTTTAATATTTAAATGGGTCTAAAGAGATTGGACTAAACATAAAGGAACACATATAAAGGAACGAATATAAACAAACATAAATGAACGAACATTTACAAATATAAATGAACGAACGAACCCTATGTTCACTAACGGTTCGTTGAATGTTCGATTCATTTACAAGCCTATAGACAACACTCGAAAAAGTAATGAACGAGAAAGAAGAAAGAGAGATGATGAAAAGAGGATATATGATTATATTTTGATCATTGAATAATTAAGCGTCAAATTATGAAGTTTGTTTTATTTTAATTATTTATCGTTAAAAATAAATAGAATTGATGATGTAATTTTGTTTTTACTTTTACAATATACGATCTGATTAAACGATCAATAAATCAGATATTAATGATTAATTTTAAAAATATCATTATCAATTTTTTAATAATAAATAATCAAAATTTTAATACAAAATAAAAATATAACTTTAAGGATGTATAATTTAAAAAGATAATAAATAAGTGATGAAAGTGGAACTATGAAAATAATTTGGTAAGTAAATACTGAGTTTACATGAACAATCGAGAGGCTGCCGTTTTTCTCTTATTATATACACCTTTAATTAACAGGAGCCTTAACATCAACCATAAATATTTCTCAGGAATCTAAAATCAATGGCGTCGTCCGCATCGAAATGCTCCTCATACAAGAAATATGAAATCAGAAAGCGAGACCCAAACCCTGAAGCCGCCGCTTTATTAGTGATCGACCTGCAAAATTATTTTTACTCCGTGGCAAAACCTATTCTCCCCAACGTCATCACCACCATCAACCTCTGCCGACAAGCTTCGATCCCCGTTTTCTTCACTCGCCACAACCACAAGTCCCCCGCCGACTACGGCATGCTGGGGGAGCGGTGGAACAACGACCTCATATTCGACGGAACCTTGGATGCCGAGCTGATCCCGGAGATCGAACGGCTGTCTAAACCCGACGAGGTGGTCGAGAAACACACGTACAGCGCGTTCGAGGACACGAGATTGCAGGGGTTGTTGGCGGAGAAAGGGGTGGAGGAGGTCATAATCACGGGGGTCATGACGAACTTGTGCTGCGAGACGACGGCGCGTGCGGCGTTCGTGAAAGGGTACAGGGTGTTTTTCTCGACGGATGCGTCGGCGACGTCGGACCCGGAGCTGCATGATGCTACTTTGAAGAACATGGCCAACGCGATTGCGTACCTCGTCGACTGTGAGAGGCTTCAACAGGGGATTTCTGGGAATGGGATGAAGTAGTTTTCGTTTCCTGTGGTGAAGAAATTACAGATTAATTACTGCTAGCAATTATCGGTTTCATCGCCAGTTCTGTAAATCATCTACATTCTACTGGGTCTGACGAATGTGTATGTGATTGAGTTGTCTAGAATAAACTGAGTTATAATAATAGTTCAGTAAGTATACAAGTTAATATTAATTAGTATTAATTTGGACATTTTACTATAACATTATGAAGAATTTTACTCCGGGACTCCCCCTCACTTTCGCCGTGAGAGGTTGTTTCTTTGTTCACTGGTGCACTCGTCTTGCTACTCCGGTGTGGGGTTCATGTTTTGATCTCTGGTTTTTTATTGCTGTCATTATGATTTGGATGATTGTATCACCATACTCTACTGATCTATTCCCATTCCTTTCGAATAAGCACTTCTATTTGGGACTCCCTTTTCACTTCTGCCGTGAGAGGTTGTTGCTTTGGTCTCCGGTGCCAGGTTTTTGGTTTTGTCTCTGGTTTGTGGTTTAATTGCCAGCAGCCGGGGTTTACGTCGGACGGAAGTTCATCTGGGAGGAGATGGGAGGCGCGTGAGTTTGGAAATATAGTAAGGTAGGATAATCACTGGTTTTGTATTGCCGTCATTTTAGTACCTGCACGGGAGTTGGTGGTCAAAACGTCGCTTGATACAGGGCCTGTGGAGGC